CTCCTCTCTTTGAGAAAGATGACACCTTTTCAGTAACTATTCTTTTCTGTTTTTCTGGTGTTACATTTTAACATTATAGACAAAGGGAAAATAATCATTTCTGCTCTTTATAATTCTTAATTGGGATTGACCCCTGTAACAAAAGGCAAATGAACAAGAGAAAAATAAATAGCATTTTATTAAGATATATACCTCATATATACATGGAAATTACCAAAAGAAATTGGTAAATGTGAAGACTATATCTCAAAGTGTGGGCTCTGTCTTCAGACTTAAATTCCTTACATTGCTGAAACAGAGAACAAAAAGTTGAAGTCTAAGCCCTTTCTATTGAAAAGAATCTCTTATTATTTATTTTTAATGGTTATTTATTTATTTGAAAAGTAGAGCATGAGAGAGAGAGAGAGAGAGAGAGAGAGAGAGAGAGAGGTTGTCCATCTGCTGCTTCACTCCCCAAATGCCTGTTGTGGCTGGGACTGGGCCAGGCTGAAGCCAGGAGCCAAGAACTTTATCTGGATCCCTCATGGGCTCCCTCACGGATAGCAGGAATCCAAGTACTTAAGCCATCATCTGCTGCCTTCCAAGGCATGCATTAGCAGGAAGCTAGATTGAAAGTGGAGGTAGGACTCAATCTCATGCACCCTGATATGGGTTGTGGGTGTTTTAGCCAGTCTTTATCTGCTGCTTAACCCACTGGGCCACAACATCTGCTCCAAGGGTCTCTGATGACTTAGAGTCCTCCCTCTCAGAACTGACAGGGAGACTCTCTTAGAAATGTAGATTTCCGGGGCCCACTCTGTGGCAGAGCCCTTTAAGTCAGCGCAGGCATCCCATTTGAGTGCTGGTTTGAGTCCTGGCTGCTCCAATTCTAATCCAGCTCTCTACTAATGCACCTGGGAAAGCAGCAGAGAATGGCCCAAGTGCTTGGGTGCCTGCAACCATGTAGGAGACCTGGAAGAACTTACTGCCTCCTGGCCATTTGGGGAGTGAACCAGCAGTTGGAAGACCTCTCTGTCTCTTTTCTCTCTCTCCTCTCTCTCTCTCTCTTTCTCTCTTTCTCCCTCTCCATAATCTGCCTTTCAAAATAATCAGAATAAATATTTTTAAGAAATGCAGATTTCCTTTATATAGACTGCATGTTTCCAACAATGACAACAGAAATACAAAACTTGAGAATGTGTCTGTTTTCAGAGCCTTTGTTTTATTTATTGTTTCATAAAGCAATTCATGAAATGATCAGCTCAAAGTAATCCTTATGGCAGTCAGATATAATTGAGGAGATGTATTCTGTTCTCCTATGGCCATATTTTGGAGTGAATCCCATCAATATGGTAATATTACCTTTATCTTAATAAAAATTCAATTTGTGATAAAATTACATGATATCAGAAACTAAGAAAGACCATCTTCTTGTTCATGAAATCATATGTGTTCATGAAAATTAATAGTTTCAGTATATATATAATACATCATATAATAATATATAATATAATAAATTTCCTAGTTTTTAGAAAGAAAAGGACATCAAGTTGCATAAAAGAAATATAGAGTTAAAGAATACTAGGTATTGATGCTAATGCAACTAAATGATACCTGAATATTAAATTTCCAGTGAATTTCACTGAATAATGATAATTCATAAAGAAGTCTCTTAGACAAAATAAATACGTGACTTGTTTTCACATCACAAAACCCCTCTCGCAATGGTAGCCATTTAAGAATTAATTTTATCTACTCTGAAACTTCAATCACATTTAAACTGAAAGCCATTTTGAAATACTGAAGATAAAATTTGAAGATTGAAGTCTGAATGCTACTGAGGGCTGGAGTGTGGCCAAGACATCTGAAACAGCATCACTGTGTTCTACAGGCATGCGCATACCATCTTCAATGCCAGTATTTGCCTGTGGGATGGTGCTTGTTACATTCATGGTGTCAACTGCTATTTTAACAATATTGCAGTGATTTTTTTTATTATGCAAGGCCCTAATATTCCACTCATTCTTTAAAATAAGGTGTTAAGGCCCAGTTCTTATTGATTTTTCTCATTTCTATCTATGTTATGACTCTGTTTTAGTTAGGAAATACAGAATTCTAAAATGTGGTATGTGAAGTAGTAAGCTTATTTAACCTTGAAATCATTCCTGTGAAAAAACAACTATTTGCTTGTGTCTTACTGGCTCCTGGGTACCTGGTAATGAGTTGACTGAGAGACTGGATAATAAATAATAGAGAACACTCTTGGAGGGACAATGATGTGCTAGTAGGTGGTGCCATCGTCCTGCACCTCTATGCCCAGAGGAGAAGCAGAGAGGGTCAAAGAGATGTCTATGGCCAACTGCTGCTTCTTGCAAATCTCCCAGCAGGATTCCTTCTTAGGCTGCAGGCTTGCTTACAGTCACAAAAAGAATAAATGGCTGTCCATTCAAGTAACCTAGGGGTAAGGAGAGCTGGCTGACTCTTCCTGCTTTACACACTTGACATACCTTCACACATGACATACCTGAATCAGAGCAGACCAAGTGGACAGTATATGTGGATGCAAAAAGTTATACTAGGACAACTCTAGAGCAGTCCAATAAATTCTACAACCATTAAATAAAGTCAGTGGTGAAGGAAATTTTAAATATGTGCAAGAATTATGATCCACATTAGATCTACAACTTGCACTCCTACCTTGACCCCAAAACACACACGTTACATAATCATAATTACATGAATGTCTTCTGCAACCATCTCCCCAGTACTGTATTTTCCTAGATTCTATATCTCTTGTTCTCCATGTACCACTTTGGAGATTCTCATCATTTGATTTTTTTTTTCCAAATTTTGGTGAGGTTTAATTGCCTCTTTTGGAAAATCAGATAATTTATAATTAAAATAACTATTATCAGAATGCTTTGGAACTGTTATCCAAAGAACAAGTGAGTATGCATTTTGATAGGGTTTTTTTGTTTTGTTTTATTTTGTTTTTCCATTTTAAGATACCAGGAGTCTCAATTGGGATTGCACTAATGAATGGTCATTTTGTCATACCCTTCTTCCTATAACTCCTGCAAATATTTCACTTGCTAGAAGGCATTGATTTATCTGTACCTGTGCAGACAGGTCTTTGGTTTTTGTTTGTTGGTGTATGTACTCTCTTAACTTCTGGGAATTCTTTTGGAATAAGTGCCTTACTTTCAAAAATAGTGACATTCATCTGGCCTGGTGATATGTTAAGACAAAATCTTGTTTAATTTGAAATGTCACTGAGAATGTAGCTTTTCTAAGAGCCTTTAAAATGTATATTTTGGAAGTATAAATGGAGATAACATTATTAATCTTGGCTTAATCTTTTAATATATATTGTGTGTAAAATATTTCTACCACCGGAGAAGGGGTATTGGGCAGAGAAGGAAAGAACTTTGTTATAAGAGAATTTGTGAAGCCAATTGCCTAAAGATGATAACCAGCTATCATATGGATCTAACTGAATATATATATTGCTCCTAAAATATATGGTCAAAGGACTTGAATATTTTGAAGGAGAATTAGGAAGAAAAAAAATGAGCTACATCTCTATCCGTCAAAGTGGCATTCCCTATTTAGAATCCAACCAATCAAATCTATCACTGGTTCCTCAATTGACTGTAGCATGTCTTAACTTCCTTTTTTGGCTCATACTCTGTCTTTTGATGTTATGTGTTGTTGGAAAATTTGTAACTGATGCATGATTGTGAACAGTCTGTTCAAACTGTTTCTAATATATAATTTCTTTGTCCAGTGTTCTTTCAATAAGGGTACCTAGTTATTTAAGTTATTATTGTCAGAATGATGCAGATGAAGGTGTGGGTTATTTATTTATTAAAATATATACTGCAATGCCCTACCTACCATGGTTGCTATAATGAAGAAGGCAATGTGACTACTGTTTTTCAGGCAAAATGGAACATTTAGTTTAAATAAGCAATGAGAAGTGATGGGTGACTACCAGAAATAGTTCTCCCTTAAGATTTCTTTTCTGTGAAATGACATTTTTAAAGGTTTTGACCTAGAAAAACCTCCTGATCTAAGAATCTCCCTAACCACCCTCATCCCACTTATTTGCAGCAAAGGCTCCTCACCTAATAAACATTAATAAATATTCATTTATTTAAAGGTAGTTATCTATCTGAGTTAATGTGTCTCCCCAATACCACCTGCCTCCCACAAAAAGTCAAGAAAACATAAACTTGGGGAAATGTGTATCACCATCAAAAAATAAAAATAAAAAAGAATCTCAGAAGGCACAGGCAAGCAAATTGCTTTGGCCCCAGTAGGTAGTCAGAACACACCGGCACCTCCTGACAAGGGACCAGAGTGTGAAAAACACGTATGTTGAAAGAATGACACTACCTTGAATTCCTCAGACTACCCTCTGTAGGAAGCAGGGAGAAAGAAAGAATCAGAAAATTGCCCAGCTTCCATGAACTCCATTTAGACTTAGGCAGTACATTTGCTTTTGAACTTGCAGGCTTCAATCTGAGACTCCGGGGTGCCCACTTCCCTTGTTATGTGTGAACCTTTCCTTGTAGACACCTGTTGGGGACTCTATTAATCACACACATTGCAGAAAGAGAAAACGCACTTTTTGAGCCATGGAGTGAGAGGCTCTCTTTTCTAGGACTCTTCTTAATCTATGGGAGCCTAGCATCTTCTATATCAGAACAAAAGCAAAACAGGTGTAAATTCTTAACTTTTTTCCCATTCCACAGAGAAAATGTTGTTGATGTGTTAGTGGTCAGCTACATTTCTCTTAAGAGAAGCAATGGGATGTTTCTTCCTTCTGTCCTAAGATTTTTGAACTTGAGTCCCATTGCTTTCTAGCATCATTCTAAACAGAACCCCACTGCTTGGCCAAGCCAGAATTAGCTTGAATGGTACCTTTTATTGAAAGGGAATCTGTATTTGCAGCAATACAGAGAATGCCAGTTTAGAAATGAGCCTGATTGCATGGTTCATTTTGTTCTCCTTTGTAGAGCCAGGCTGCAGCCCACTACAAAGGCACGAAACATGCCAAGAAGCTCAAAGCACTGGAAGCCATGAAAAATAAGCAGAAATCAGTAACTGCCAAGGACAGCGCAAAGACTACCTTCACCTCCATCACTACCAATACCATCAACACCAGCTCTGACAAAACAGGTTAAGCAATGATCTTTGTTGTTGGTCCTCATTGTGTTTGGGGGTTTCTTCCTTTGTCTAATCTCCTGTCTGTTTATTCATATCCCAGCCACATTGATTCACGCTTGAGCCATATTTTCTTTTGTAAAACGGTAATCGTTTCCCATCATTTTCCCAATGCCCTTGAGAGGTAAAGACACTCAAGAGTTACATTCAAGTTTTTGCATTTTGAGAGTCCTGTGGCTGTTGTACAGGAACATATTAGACATAAAAATATTTGAAGTCATGTCCCCATAAGCCTTTTTGAGACATACCCTGTTCAGTGTGCATTGTTTGCATCTTGTATGCAAGTCCCTTAGCCGATAACTGCATGGTGATTTGATGTACCTGTGACTACACAGCAAAGTATGCCAACTGAATCAGGAAGCTCCCAGTAAAGGCATTATTTCTGACAGCTTTCTTCTCACAAACTCCAACTACTGCATTGTTTCAAGTAGTGGCTGTGTGATCCAGGCCTTGTTATGGCTGGCTAACCTTCTCTCTGCATACACAGGTAAGTGTTACTGATACCAATTATTCTTCTTAACAGTCTTCACAGTGAAATAATTGTCTCTGAGTGGCCCCTTGAGAGAGCTCCTGCAAACAACTTACTTATTCACAACACAGGAATCCCAAGGGGTTGCCCTAAGCTGCTCTTTATAAATAAGATCACTGGTCCTCAAAATTCATGTAGAAGTTCTTTATGATTTCTAGATGCACTTTTAATGAATCACTTTCTGGAAAAGGAGGGTTAGTGTGAATTGGGTTGGTTGTTTCCTAGTTCATACAAATGGCAAAGGTGAGGAAATGTCGTTTTCAAAAGTGATGATAATATATCTAAACCTGAAGTCACTCTTCTGCCCATTATTGATGAAAATATAAAATGAACCAGTAAAACAGATTAAACAGTGCTTTTACACAGAGTTGTAGCCATTGGACATGCACCGATTCCTCCAAAGATCTGGTGCGATGCTTCCTGTGTGAATCTCTTTGAAATCCCAAGGCACATTGGGCCGGCGCCGTGGCTCAATAGGCTAATCCTCCACCTTGCGGCGCCGGCACACCGGGTTCTAGTCCCGGTCGGGGCGCCGGATTCTGTACCGGTTGCCCCTCTTCCAGGCCAGCTCTCTGCTATGGCCAGGGAGTGCAGTGGAGGATGGCCCAGGTGCTTGGGCCCTGCACCCCATGGGAGACCAGGAAAAGCACCTGGATCCTGGCTCCTGCCATCGGATCAGCGCGGTGCGCCGGCTGCAGCGGCGGCCATTGGAGGGTGAACCAACGGCAAAGGAAGACCTTTCTCTCTCTGTCTCTCTCTCTCACTGTCCACTCTGCCTATCAAAAATAAATTAAAAAAAAAAAAAAAAAAAAAAAAAGAAATCCCAAGGCACCGTGTATGTTCTTCACCCAGCTATTATTTGTGGATGCATTGTGCCCTCTCCCTAAGAACCCTGTGTGCTCCCTATGGCTGAGTGCATCTGTCATCTCTGTATTCGTGCATGGTGCAGGTCTTGAGTCAAATGTCTGTTGAATGACTGAAACTTCCTTTACTCTTCTGGTTTCCTGATATATCCAAGTTTGTTTCACCATACACTAAGGGGCAAAAAAAATAAATGCTTAGTATGTATTTCTTTGGTATCCAGAGTAAGTGTGGATTATACTGTTTTATTAATTCAGATGCACAATTTTACAAGAAAAACATTTTTTTCTTCTCTAACAAATGAAGACTGACTGCTTTATTTTGGTGGCTTTAGGGTAACAAATGATAAAGAAGCAGGGGATTGTAACTTCTGCTCCCCAATATTGGGGCACAGATGAGGTCCTCAGAGCCACAGTAACTATGGGGAAATGAAAATATCTTTTTAATGCAAAGAAAATAGGAGATGGGGAGAACAAAAAGAGATGAGTGACATAAAGGTATGTAGTAATATTTTTGCTTGCCTTCTAAATTTTCTACTCTTAGACATTTTTATCCATAATGGCTTTTTGGGTTATTCTGATCCTTTCTTAAAATGCAAAGATTCTTGTAACATTAAAGTTGCATGTCATTAAAAGTATATGAGGAACCTTCGAAAAGTTCATAGGAACTGTCGCTCCCCCTCTTTGCGGAGGAACGACACAGGACCCTGCACTGTTCCTTTGTCTGCTCGGCCCTTCCCGAGTTTGCTGCTGGTTCTTCCCAGGTTCTCTGCTGTCCTTCCACCTCCGTGGAAGGGCGGTTCCCCCTGCCACTTTCCCCACTTCTGCGGGGGAGCGGCACACCGCCGGCCGGCTCTCTCGGGGGCTGCTCAGGTGTTCCTTCAGATAGATGTTCCTGGTGCATGTTGTCTCTCTCCTCCTTTATAGTCCTCTTCCACCAATCCCAACTCTGCTACCCACACGCCGAGTACACTGCTCTCCTCCAATCAGGAGCAAGTCCTGCTGTTTATTGGTTGAACTGGAGGCAGCTGTGTAGAAGCTGTTTACTCCTCTCCCAGCGCCATATTGTGGGAGAGCAGATGCATAGAATAAGTCTTAATTCGAGTAACTTAGTCTAGTCCGAGTTGCTCCCCACAGGAACAAAATTAAAAGATCAGTTAATCAAAGAATCAATGCTTTTTTTTTTTTTTCATTTGAGAAACAGAGGGAGAGATACAGAGAGAGGGAGAACTCATCTACTGGTTTACTCCCCAGATGCCAGCAATGACCAGAGCTGCTATGGCTGGAACTCAATCCAAGTGTCCCAAGTGTGTGGCAGGGATTCCATTACTTGAGCCTTCACGGCTGCCTCCCAGGCTCTGCATTCTCATGAAGTTGGAGTCAGGAGCCAGAGTTGGGTATCAAGCCCAGGTACCCAGATATAGTATGCAGATAATGTAACAGATAAACCCCCACTCCCACAAATTTTTCGGAAATCATGCATACTATGGGTTTCAAAAAGTTAATGAGAAAAACCTATTAGAAAAAATTATCCATGAAATTCAAAAATTTTTAAACTAAAATAAAATTATCTAACTACAGTTTTCCATGATTTTTTTGAAATCCCCTTGTATATGTACATGTTGGATAGATCTGATAATTGGATTAGTAAAGAATCTCACCTGTGTGTTGTCTTTACTACATAAATGAGTGCTGAACACATACCTCCATTCCTCAACTTAACTACTAGAAAATGAAGGGTTGTAGTCACAAAGGCTTTGTCCTTTTATAAGTTGAATGAGAACAGATTTTTGATTGTGTGGTTATACTAGCCAGTCTTTCATCATTACAGTGAAATACTCAACAAGTTAGACTAACTTTATAAAGAAAAAAGTTTTATTTTGGCTCAAGATTCTGGAGGTTCACAGACCAAGGTCAGGCAGGTCCCATGGATTCAGCCTTTGGTGATGGGATTCTTGCTTGCAGAGTCCCAGGGTAATATACCCAGCATCATATGGTAAGAGACAGGGAGCACATGTGTGTGTTTCTATCTGTGTGTATGTTTCTTATAAAGCACCACGAAGAGGCAATCATGGGGACTCTGACCTAATGACCTAATCCAATCTAATAATTTCCCAAAGACCCCATATCTAAATATCATAATTGTTTCTACTCTCTTAAACCATTAACTTAAGACTTCAGGGACTAAATTATTGTGTTTAGAGGGATAAATATTCAAACTGTAGCAATTGTGGAAAGGAACCTATATAAAATAAACATGTTAGAACTTAAAAGGGAGATGGTACTAAAATGGAGGCACACTTTCAGGCTGGAGCTAGAAAAAAATTCCAGAAAAGCAGAAGACATAGTAAATCCTCTAAAGTTACACACATGTGCTAAAACCAAAGAAAGTGGTGGGAACTAAGGAAGGACTGTGCTTTCTTATCCAGGGAAACTTGTACCCAGGGGAAAAAAAAAGAACAAAACAAAGCAAAATAACAGCAACAACAAACTCATATAGGATGGGAGACTAAGGATTCCAGCCCAATCATTGTATGTTTTCAGATGGATTCTACCTTTAAACTAAGCTTCCACAAAATGATGAAAACTATCTTTAAAGCCTAATAAAATGCCATCTATTTCATAGACCCACATCCCCTTTACATTGCAATAGAACCAGAGGCTCTCAGGTTGACAGATTTGAGTTTTCTAAAAACTATGACTTGTCCTTTTTATTACTGTCTTCTCTCCCCCATATTTTTAGGAGTACAACTCTCAAGACAAAGTATTTCTCTGAACTAGTTTTCTAGAACAGTTAACTGCTTGGCAGGAGGCAAGGACAAGACTCTAAAATCAAATGTCATGTTTTTATAATAATATAAAATTGTAACCCTCTGTTCAGTGAGCAATGATGTTTTGAGGTTTTAATGACATTTTACTGTTTTTATCAAATCATTTTAATGAAAGTAATTGAATTGTATAAAAAATATCAAATTAATTGCTTTCAAAACATTAAACATGAAAATGAAAACATGAATGGGTAGAAGAGAACCCTTAGAGAGGATTGGAGCACAACAGTGAAAAGGGTAAGAAGCCATGAGGACTTAAATAAGAAAACTGATTTGAGGGTTTTCTTGGAAATACAGGTATTGGAATACTCACAACAAAGTTCGCATTGTAGGCAGACTTGAAAAAACATTTGAGGCTAAGCCTCTGCCTGCAGCACCGGAATCCCATATGGGCACTGGTTCAAGCTCCTCTTCTGATCCAGCTCTCTACTGTGGCCTGGGAAAGCAGTAGAAGAGAAGCCAGGAGCCAGGAGCTTCCTCTGGGTCTCCCACATGGGTTCAGGGGCCCAAGGACCGTCTTTTGCTGCTTTCCCAGGCACATTAGCAGGGAGCTGGAAGGGTAATGGAGCAGTGCTCATATGTGTTGCCAGTGCTGGAGGCAGAGGCTTAGCCTACTAGATCGCAGCACCAGCTCCAATAATGGAGTCTTAATTGCACTGTTGGGAGTAACAGTTATGAATGAGCGATCGGTGAAGTCAGCTTCTATTCACTAATTTTGTGATTTTTTTTATTTAAATT